TAGTGTTGTAACGAATAGTATATTCGGCCTCAGGCCGAATACCGAATATTCGGCCAGGAGCGTGGCCGAGTAGCCGAATATTCGGCCAAACTATTCGGCTCGATTAACTCACGTACGAAAATTGGCGCGCTAACCGCATTATGGCAAGGTCCCTGCTCTCTATTGGCCCGCTGTCACTACGCTTCGCCAATCGCGTTAATTCTTGACAGTTGTAGCGGACAGACAAGAGCGTCATGGTAGTATGTGATAAATGATGATATCAAATGTGGATAACAATGAAATGACCTACACGTGTAAATAACGGAAAAAGAACAGAGAAGGACAGCGAAGTGAAAATGTGAAAATAAACATGAAATTGAGTTGATAGCATAATCGAACAAGTCGAGGCAGCTTATTGGCGCGAAATTCGCCGGCCGTCAATGCCAAACAATTGTTGTCATAGACTTCGGTGCTAAATGCTTGTAATGATAAGGCCCCAGGATTCGCCCGTGCACGGGCAGAAGCCTGGGCCATTCTGGCTACCAAGCTGTCTCGAATCTGTGAAATCATAACTGTGACTTATACCGACGTTCTATCTGTCTGTTTTCTCCGTTATCACCAGGCTATGAGTCACGTAATTGTAAAATGGGAAATCTACGACGGAAAAGTGACGAATCGAAAGTATCGTGAGCGCGTATTATATAGACTAGAGCGATAGAGGAAAAAGAAAGGGAAGAGCGCTTAAAAAGAAGGATAGGCAGGATCAGACCCTCAGATGTGCGAGGATTCTCCAACGATAGACGTGTACGTGTGCTGATCTTTGTAATTATAAATTGTGAATACATGTGACTACGTAATATTATTTTCTCTTTTTATTTTGTGCGTGTTACAAGTTATAAATAAATATAAACAAACAACACTAACCAGATAACATTAAATCTAAATACCAAAATGATTAATTTACTGTGTTTTTGTTATTTCTTACTCCTGTTTTTAGGTATTCGGTATTCGGCCGAATAGTGATTAAATATTCGGTATTCGGCCGAATAGTGATTAAATATTCGGTATTCGGCCGAATAGCGAAAAATAGGCCGAATACTGAATAGTAACCGAATATTCGTTACATCACTAATATAAATCTATTCTCTGGCCCTTTGCTGCGTTTGACTTTGCAACCCCTGCTTTATCAAATAGTTGATCGAGTGCTTTTCTATTGTAATTTAAGAACGTTTTACTGACAGATATTTATTGAGCAATTTGAATATATCACTGCAGAATGCTTTGTTTATTTATTATTATTTTTTTCTTTGGAGGAAATATGAACGCGAACAATTCTTCAACATAAAAGTTATTGCCTATTTTAAGGATTTGATCGACAGTGTGTCCTTATTTTCCGTCTTGAAAGATACAACGAGTAACATATTGATAAAGCGGGAGAAGGGGATTTCTGTTCCTACAGATGGACTATCGAGAGTCGCAAGGTTGTCGTCCGGAATTCCCACGATGAAAAACTCTTAGTCTAATGTTGTTTCTAATTTAAAATTATCGATATATCCGAGTCTTTTACCATCATCTACTTTCGATGTTGAGATTGTCACTTTGAACATATAAAATGTAAAATAATAAACATTCTTGTGGATTCATTGAAATTTTAATTCGTATTCACAGCAAAATCATTCATTTTAACACATTTGAAATAGTGTTAACGACTTGAAATATTTTTTAAAAAAAGAAAAGAAAATGGATTGATCATTGTTTATTATTATTATACGTATAATAACACTTCACCGTGCGGACACAAAGCGGATCTTTTTTCATTCCTATCCATCTGACCTGCATTACTGCTCTGGCCTAACTCGTTTGGTCGTGAAAGTAAGAATATCTTGGTGACCGCATTACGGAAAGAATTTTATAAAAACTATAAACATTTTCTTTTAATTTTTTATTATAGTTTACTTCTCAAAAAATAGATTTAAAGAATTATTATATAGAATTCTTAAAGAATAAAAATGTAATTTATCAAAAATTCTTCCTTAATTTTATCAATTAAAAAAGTGAATCTTACCTTTAAGTTAATTAAATTTCCTCAATTTAATTTCCATATCATCATTATCTTTTTTTATAGACTGAAATAATGCATCCAAATTTTGTTCTAATTGGCTACAAAAAATTAAAAAAAAAAGCATACTTTAAAATTAACGGCATTAAAAAAAGTAACTTTAACATTTAAGTAAAAAATTTTTCATATGAAAATATCGATACAAAAATTAAATCTAATTAAATAAAAATAATAATAATCTATTCGTTAAATATTTTACATTTCGATTTGTAAAAATAAAAATAAAAAATTATATTTTCGAAATGTAAGGAAGGAAAGCATTTTAACTTTCTTCTCTCATTTGTTTAAATTAAACATTTGCATTTTACTATATATAAGGCGCTTTTGGCAACTTTTGACCAATCCAAAAAAAAGGTGCAAAAATCACCTTGCTTCTTAACTTATATGTGAAGTTGCGATTTCCCTTAGCCTCTATGGACCTATGGCTAATGAACTCTCCAAACAGCCTTAAGTAGGCTATATGTAACCTATATCTAACCCAACTCTTGAATAAAAATGTTATTGTTTAAACTTAATATATAGTAAAAAAAAATAACAATAAAACTAACAGCTTTTGCATATATATAAATACTTTAAAATACGTTGAGTATTTTAAAACATTACTGTAATTGTTAATGACTTATTTTAAAGTCTTCTTTTTTCCCGGTAAATAAAACTGTGCATTCTAATTTTAATTTTTTTTATTTAATCAGAATGCAGTAAAAAAATTTTGGGGCCGAGTGAAAGCCGCGATATGGCTTAAATACACTAAATATTTTTCCTAAATATTCTGTGTTGAAATGAAGCTATGTCTTATATACCATAAAATACAGTACTTTACGTTGATCTATGTAATTCAAATTTTAGATTTACCTTTTTTCATCATGTAATGCATTGAAAGCTCTATCTTTCTCTAACAAGCTAATCTTTAAATTATGCATTTCTTTCTGGTATTCGTTTTGTAATTGCTTCCAAGTGGCTTCTCTTTCCCTTAATCTAAAAAAGTATATATATATTCACAAAATTGAACAAATCATCTATATGAGTTGAAGTACACACACAAACAAGTATAGGATATATACACACCTAGATTCCGTTCTCTTTGTTCTTTCTTCGGTTCTTTCTCTAAACTCCTTCAATTGACAAGTAAAAATTAAGTTAATAATTAACATCATAAGATTGGATTTAAAAATGAAATGAAATTATATTTCCAGACGTTCGAATGAAAATATTTGAAAAACTTACTTTTAAACGTTCTTGCAATCTTCCAATATTCAAACTTCTTTCAATGACTTGAGCTGTAAGATTTCTTTGTTGCATTTGTGACTATTTCAATGAAGAAATTGTTATTAAATTCCACAATTTTATTAACTTTCTAAGCGTAATAAAATTAAAACTAACTTTTCTCATTGTTTGATCTCGTTCTATAGATATTTGTTCGGCCTGCAAATAAAATAAAAAATAAAAATACTTGGTTGTAAATTTTTATTTTGTAATTATTATTCAACTTAGTTAATAATGTCACATGTTCCCTCAATAATTTCGAATATATACATTTTTTAACTCTCCGCCCTGTAGGCACAAATAGAGCCTTTTTAGCAACCCATTATGGTTTTGGCCAATCCCTCAATGGGACGGCCGGGTGATAAGGAACAGGACACGACATATCCGGTCGGAATACCGCTGAAAATTTCATGGGGTTTTTCGAAGCTACATTAGCCGCTCAGTCATCCGGACGTCACCCATAGTTCGAATGTTGAAGTATTGATGAATCTCAAATAAGTTTGAGATTCATCAATACGCTGCAATTTGATACTTAAAACTAGAAAGAAAGATGCCCCAACAAAGAAATTGATAATCCAAATCGAAGCGTAATACCAATTGAAGAAGACCAAAATTTAAATCTTGAAGTTCTTTTTCTTGGTTGTAGTTTTCTTGTAATTGAAAGATTAATCTTTCGCATTTCTGCAATAATTGCATATATGCCTCTTCTACGTTTCCTTTATCAGTAACATATTTGTTCATTTTTAGTTTTAGTTGATTGATTTCCTCCGTTACATATTTCTTTTGCGCTTCTAATTCCTTGAAAGAAAAATTAGTTTCAATTATTTTTTCCTATTTTTATATACGGAAGGAAGGAAAAAAGAAAAGGATGACTTTTCTAATTTGTTTTAAATTGATTTAAATTGCTTCTACAAAGATTATTTTTTACAAACCTTAACTTTAACTTGCAACTTTTTAACCTCATCCTGATATTTTTCTTTCAGTTTATCCAAAAGTCTAAATGTAAATAAAAATATACAGTATATACAAATCAATTATATTGAATAAAAACATTTAAAATCGAATAATAATCAAAAGTATAATGTATAACCGACGTCTGTGTCTCTTGTACAAATGCTTCGTGCTCTTGTGGTGGAACCCATTCTTTATAGTAATTTTCTAAGTATTCACATTTATGTTTTATTTCCTTATATTTTTCTTTCCATAAATTCAATTCTCTTTCTTTAAGAAAAAAAAAATTAACAAACAGAATTTACAACTAGATAAAGAAATACAAAGAAAAAAACAAGAATTACCCATCGAGTGAAGTGGATCTTGGCCTAAACTTGTACTATTTTCATTTCTTAACTCTATCTTTTTTACTTTAATTACATTTTCTTCTCTGGTAAATAGTCACAATTAATTCAGAATTCGAATTTAATCAGAGAAACATTTAATGAAAATTCTTAAGAGCCTACAATTGTTTCTTAGCTTGAAGTATTTGTTCCATAAGTAATTTATTCTGTTGTGTTTGACATTCTAGTTTGCTTTTCAATTCTTTAATCTCATTCTATGTAAACAAGAACTGATTACAGATTTTTCAGGATAATAATACAAATGAGCTTACGTAACTACTTACGATTTCTTTCTGTTTGCTCGAATCCATCAACGATACTGAATTCTGAATCCCATTCAGTTTCGTTCTTAGTTGATTGATTATCTTCTCTAGTTCAATGACTTTCGACTGTAATTTTTCATTTTCTTCCATTATTAATTTTATTCGTTTTTCTAATTTTTTATATCCTGTTAAAGATATTCTATATAACCTAAATCCTGTTAAATCAACAAGCTCCTCCTATAATTCTAAATCTTACTTCTTTCGCCTTCATCAGCTAAACGAAATTTTTGCTTCGATTGACTTGTAACAGTTTTTCTTTGTATTTGCTAGAAAAAAAGTGCATCTTCTATTAAAATTAACCATAAAAACGATAAATGAAATCCAAACTTACCCAAGACGGCTGCGGAACTTCGGATACATCAGAATTCATATCACTATTTTCTGCACGCTCCGAAAATGACGTTTCGCATTGTTTGTCTGCGGTAGACTATATTGATCACATTCTGAATTAATTTTTCTTTCTTCCATATTATTTCACATAAAATCGGCCACAAAACTTACACTTTTATGCGGGATGGCGTATATATCTTCAATGTTTTTAGGAGGAGGAGAAGGCGGCTCCGATTCCCTGTCCGTTTCTCTTATATCGGCGTACCTTTAACGATCCGCTAAGATTTAGACATAATTATTCACTATATTATAAATATCATCGACGAACTTACCCACTTTCATCGGGATTGATAGGATAACCGATACACTGCCCAGTCCATGCAGCATTAAAAACTGCCGAAGCTATACTTGGATAGTCACCATCAGATTTAAGCGATGTACTTGTATATAAAATGCCTTTTAGTTTAGGCTGTAACAATTATTAGATTTTTAATAGGGTATAAAAATTCACCATTAGGAAAGCAAATAATCACATCTTACTACTAAATTTCGCCTATTTCTTCTAGGTAAAGGAACCGGTGTAGTTGGTCGATCCTCCATTGTTACCTGACCGACGCTTTCCTACACCTGAATAAATCAATACGGTAACATCTGTTCTAGGAACAATATCAAACATACTACCCCTATACTCGCCATGCATGAATATTGGCATTAATTTATTCGATAAAGCCTTTATTTTTTTAATTATTTTTCGATAAATATATTATTAAAAATTATTCAAACCCATCATCAATTATTGTGACATATTTAATCTATTGATATAATGACATAAAGACATCGGCGCGTGTTTTGTATCTGAATAAAAAGAAAGATACATATTAATTAAGTTACATAAGAATTGTAATTAAATAATTATTCCAATGAAAAAACTTTAAAAAAAAATTAAAGTTAGAAATAAATGATTAAATTTCCTGTAAAAAAATGACGAAAGGAGTTTTAATTGCGAACCTAATTACTGGAGAAGTTTCGTCATTAATTGCGATTACGTCATAGTTCAGCGTTACTTAAACGAATAAATTTAATTTCGTCAAATATTTAAATACAAACAGGAAATTTTAATTATTTTAATTTTAGTTCCTCATAAAACAGAACTAGCTCTTTAATTTTTAAGAAAAACTGGAGTAGAGAAAGAGGAAGAACGCTGTAACCGAGTCGTGTGCGCCTGTGTCATACTTTATCGGAATGACAAAATAGTTATGGCGACACTTATCGTCCTTTATCAAATAACTAAAAAAGAGTGCGTGTGATCTCTGGTCCTCTTTCCATTTATATAAATCAAATTGTCGTCCGCTCATCAGGTTAGTATTGCTCCACTTTACTATTATTATGCTGAAACTTAACTTTAGTTTGTAAGTATACGCGACTTCCTTAACTGTAAATCGTTAGAAAGTCTGTCTAAACTTTTTCCGCGAATGATATTTGTACAATAAAACTCCGTAACAATGAACAAATCTGATAAAAAAAACGTTGCTACTGAAAATCGATTCGCATTGAACTAGTTTTAATGATTAGTAGTAATTTTTTCCCCATTTAGAAATTTCGCACGTTGCTTAATTTAATTAATTAAATTTTATTTTGACCATTAATAATTATTAAGTTTTATCAATGTTTTCTAAATCCGAATAATTTATCATTAATTAGAGTATAAAAAGTTCATCACGTGAGATCCTGTGACTTATCCGGTTGACAAGTTGTATTAGATTACAAAATTAAGAGGACATTATTATGTCCTCTTAATTTCTGTATATATATTAAACAACATTAAATTTCTGTATATATATTAAACAGCATTATATTTTAATGTTGTTTAATATATATACAGAAATTAAGAATTATTTGAGATTATTATTATTATTTTATCTAAGCAAATATAACAATTTCACGTGCAATAATTCTGTTGATGTCTAAACACGAAATATTATACGACATGACATTCTTGAATATCCGTGAACTCGCATGAAATAAACCGGTTTTATATTATTCGAGGTCACTACTTTCAAAATATGTTTACTGTGTATAAATTAAATTATTTCTAGTGAATTTTATACATGCGTGTTTTTTTTTGCAACAGATTTGCATAACATCGAAATGGGTGCTGGTCGAGGAGGAAACTTTTTATGGTCCATAATATGGTTCCTGATTTTAATTTTCATATCGTTTTTTGTTGCCGGCTTCTGTGCAGGATGGTACATACTTCTTATCGTTTTTACGCCTTGTATATCTGATCTGAATACAGTGACGGATTTTCTGTTGAAAGGTATCAATTTTCCGAACACCTGCTCGCAGAATATGATAAGTGGAAAATCTTTTTGACCGGACGTTAACGGACGAAAATGTGTGTAATTTTTATATTTTGTAATCGGATAAAGTTGATATTAATGTGAAAAAAATAAAATAAATAACCATAATACAACATTTTATTTGTCACAAATACATGAAACAAATATTGTTGTAGTTCTGACATAAAAATTTTATTATAAACATCTTGTTATGGCTAGTTTTTTTAATACTTAGTCATTACATATTCATTTGATTTAAACTACATTTATCTCTTATAGCAAGGCCACATATTCGAACTTTGATGATTTGCAGAGAGCCAAACAATTGTTTGAGACTAAGCATTCCTTAAAACTTTTTTTTTTGCATTATTTAAATCTGGAATTTTTAATATAAAACTTAACAATTATCTATATAAATCAAGGAAATGAGTAATAAAAGTATACATGATATATATAATTGTTATAAATTCGATATAATAGATAAATGATATTTGTTATTAGAAGGTATGTAATGTTGATTTAATTGAATCGAACAACCGTGGGTCCCTTACAAAATAGAAATGACTAATCCATTTTTTATAGAGAGCTGTGATAACTGAGATAAAGACGATATAATATTGAGGCAACTCCAGCGACGACAATGGGAATGATCCAATTTTTCCAAGAACTGTAAATATAAATTCGAAGGTTATTTTATGTAACAAAATCACTTCATTAAATAATATAAATCTTACCTTTCGTCTTCGGAACTTGAAGGCCAATGAATTTTCTCCTGAAATTCATAATTTTAATATAGATTAAGTAATTACGAAACTTATCAGAAATAATCATATTTTAATGGAAGTAATTAAAAAAGATTATCTGAAATTTTATCGATAAAATAAAGAATAAAATTTTTATTGCATGATTTATTAGAAAAAGAAAAAATATTTTGTGAATATTAAATTTTTAATGCAGAATTATTTTCATCATCACAAAACAAGAATCCAGCAACGAGTAGCTTAACTTTCCCGGCAACATTTAAAACTGCGTGTGGAGCTATCTGTTATAAAAAGTTTTTAAAATAAAATATTGTATTTTTAATTATTATGAAAATGGCAAAAAGCTTAATTTTGAGGGTAGGTATGAACTATAAAAATATTATAAATGCTAGTAACGAATAAAATAGTCATTAACCTTTGACCACCAAAATTTAATAGCATCAAACCTCCCTGCAAAATTTCAGAAATTTTCGTTAAAAAAAACACAGTTACCATATAAGCTTCAAAGAAGGAGAACAAAATTTTTTTCATTTACAGTATTGGTTTCAAGATCCGGGGTTCAAAAATTAAAAATCTTGGGAGGTCATTTTTGATCGATCGCCATACTTTCCTTCTGTTATATATATATATATATAACAGAGCCGGGAAAGTAAAATTGAACACAAGAGCGTTGACAATCGGAAAGCAATTTTGTATTTAATACGAAATTACGACGAAACTATTAAATACAAAACAACACTTTGGAATGAAAACAAGTCTTCTATAGTCAGATAGACTCATTGCGATATGCCCAAATTCTAGTCAGTTCAAAAATTTTTATGGGTAGAGTAGGTTGGATCAATCTACTCAAAAATTTCCGGGTTTTTATGAATGTCGGGCCCCTGCCCTTCATTATTTAGGCCTTTCCACTATGGGTTTGCCCGAACCTGTAATGAGTATAGGAAAGGACGTCTTAGTGCTTGCAAGACAGAGTTAAAAATTGAAACATCTCGAAAACGATTATGGGATGGAAGATAATTCTCTTGTGCTCTTATACTGTATTTTATGGATTGTATAGAATATTTAGTCATAAAAAATCTCGGGGCAATGTTCTGCATTTCCGTATAAGATCTCAAATCAACTTATGAGCCCACAACTTTTATAACAGTTTTTAAACATACTGGCGGTTCCGGAAAAATTTTTCATGCTATAACTTACTCTAATTACATCACACGCTTTACAACTGACTGGCTTTTATATTTACTAAAACACCTGCAATTATATCAGTTTAATCGTTTTCTTCAGCAAAAAATTAAACTTAAAAAATTTACTGCTAAAAAACAATTCGGTTTAATTTTTTGCTGGAGTATTCTTTATTTTCACAAGTTTTATGTAGAAACGAAACGACCAATTTACATAATATGAAAATTTTTATATAAACTTCTTTCTTACATTAATACTTTTAAATAATACAAATTAGTAAACAAAACTTTACAACTTTCTGCTTTTTATTTAATTTTTTTGTATTGAGAAGTACTGTACATTTTACAAATCTTATGACAAATGCCAATTTTTATGCAATTAGTATGGAAAGATAAAATTTTATGATGAACATGTCCTGAAAACAGTGTTAAACTATAAAAGCATTTAAATTTAATTACAGACAAATCAGCACATTGTGTTCTGTCTTTCATTTTTTGTCATAAATATAGTAAGCTTAAATAATAACCTGACAAAGAAATCTGCTTGAGATTTTACAGGAGATTAAACATAACATTAATTTTTTTCACACATATATATAATTTTTAATGCAGAGAGGCCATTTTGCTATAAATGTTATTTTTAATTCAAAATATATTTATTGAATAATAAAAAATCAACAATTATAATAGTTTCAGAACAGATAGAAATACATTCATTAGATAGTTGATGCAAGATTTCATTTTTAAAACTATTTCAAAATTTTAAATATATTTTCTTCAAAAATAACATTACCTGTTTCATCAGAAAATTTCACTTAATAGTGTAAATGCATATCAGTTCATTTCTTAACATTTGTAATAATACCAATAAGAGATTTGTCAATTCTTTCTGAATATTTTTGTAAATTAAATAAAATTAAATTATTGTGAATTCTGTTATTTTATTATGAATAAAATACTGTTTTTATGTTTTTGCATTTATTTGAGTCAGTAATATTTGTTGAAACAATATGATGAAATTCTTAGTCTATTGTACTTGTACATTATNATACACACATATTGCATATGTAACTTAAATTAAATATGAACTTAAAATATGTAAAAATTGCAATCAAGAATACCAGAAATCTTTGTTATGATATATAGAAGTGCAGAAATGTTTAGCATTTAACTGTCTTGTTTCACACCATGTGATAATAAACAGTTTCAAAAGCCTAGTTTCACAAGACAGATACTGAAATGTACATCTATTTCAACATCTGCAGAAGCCAGGTTAGCATTTCAAGAAATGACCAGAAAAACTGGGATGGATTCTGAAACAAATATTTATTAAAGAATGTTCTAGCACTTAATAAATGGAAAATATCATCAAAAATAGACACCTATAATTTGAAGATTAATATTCCTAAGGAGAAACAACCTATTTATATTTCATTTATTACTGAACATCACATCAAAGTTAAACACTGGAATTAAAAAATGCAACAACTGATTACACATTGTCGGGCAAAGATAGTACTACAATGTTTTGTAACAGCTTATTATAATTATGGCATATAAAAGATCTCTACTCAATAATTTTATTCATAAATTTTAAATAGTAGTTGATACATAACTATCTTATTGTAGAATTTAATAATTTTTTGTTTATCATCACAAACTGTCACAAAAATGGCCATCTAGAGAGATTATGCCTAAAAGAAATTTACTTTGTCAGGGATACAGAAACACGGTGTGCTGTACTTTTGGTGTAATGGGTATAAGCATGCAAAGTACTATACAGTAATGTTTGCAGTACTATAATTATTAAATACTAATTATGGTGAAGGTTTTGAAAACTCATGTTCATTTTTACAATTGTTACTGCATTATGTACTGTACAGTCATTACTTATGTCCTATCATACCAGTTTTGAAATAAACTTGATATTGATATTTAAGTTTTTCAGACATTTCACATGACCATATTTTCATATTCTTTCTTTACTTGAGTTAATAATTCTATCAACAAATGATTACAAAGTTCTCTGGTTCTGCAATACTTGAATGTGAATGCATATTTCAGTTCAGTTGATTCACCAGCAACAGAACATTCTTGATTACTCATCTGAGAATCATTCTCAGTTTAAGTGATGTTTTCAGTCACAATATCATTCCAATTATCAACTTTTTGAAACTCTTGAGCATTCCATCCATGTCAACACCTACTGTGGTAACCTCACAAGTTCATTGAGAACAGTAATGAAATATGCCATCTTGTTTATATTCTTATAAATAAAATTAACAAAAGCACAAATGGATGATTTCTGGATTTCCATTTAAAAAATATAAAAGCATGCTACTTGTGATTGACAGCAACCTGATAAACCCTAACAACAGTTAAACTTCCTTTGGTCACTTACAATGTCTACGACAAACTTAATTCCTAATAAAATATATTTCATGAATAATGCTATAAGCAATTTCCAAATTTATAGAAATTAGCATGATTTTAAAATGGAACAATAATCTGATAATCCCCAATGTTGTCTGGAAAACTTCATTTTATGTGTGTTTGTTTCTCTGTGTGTGTGTGTGTGTGTGTGTGTGTGTGTGTGTGTGTGCGCGCACGCACACGAGTCTGTAATATTTTGTTGCATCCAAGATACAGATTTGTCAATTTAGTGGTTTACACAATGTTGCTGTAATATGACTTGAGAGTTGTTCATAGTATATGCAAGAGCATTCATTTCACTTTGAGAATGATAAGAATATGATCTAGCATATGATTCTGACCTCATTGTTGATATTAGTTTGACAATGCAACAATGAATGAAAAATCTGAGATTAGATTTTCTGTGATATGGTTGCAACTTGTCTAACAAAGGTTACCAATAAGTCACAAGTTTGTTCAAATAATACATATCTGTGATTTTGTGGTTTTAAGTGAAAAAACGTCAGTGGTAGTTTATCATATAAATCAGCCTTAAGGAACCATTGATTCACAGAAAAGTGATTTTATAAACTTTAGGATCAGAAGACAAGGCTCTTCTATACCATAAATTAGTGGTTGCTTGTTAAGAAAAGGGAGAGAATTTTTCAAGAATGGAAAAAATTCCTGAAAAATTCCTCTATGGAGAAAACTTCCATTCCTAAAAAACTCATTCAGGACAGTTTTCACTATATTATATTACTTTAGGCTTGATTCTCGTTAACTCTTTTTTTTTTTAAGTTTAATTTTTTCAAAAATTGAATGTGTCTATAAATTAAAGTGACAATGAAAAAACCAACTATAATCTAATATCAAACAATTATATTTAATTATTAGAAATAAAAAACAAGCTAAAACTAAAATTTTAAAATATACCTAATTATATGTAAAAACAATTCTTATTTAAAATTAATGAATTAAAAAATAATCATCTACTTATAGCTTTTGTAACATGCATAATGCCATAGAAGATAAAAAATAAATGATTATTGCCAATATAACTGATAATTCTTATAACATGTTAAAAACATTATGTATAGCAATGTATCTGGCAATGTATGATAATTTATCATATTTTTTTTATTTCACAATAATAATGTTTTATATCCTAAAGTTTCTCTCATATTTTAACAGAAAATACAATTTACATTACAATATATTATACTAGTATATACTACATTACTGCACAACAGACTATAAAAAATACAATATAATTTTTTTGATATTTTTCATCTGCAAGAGTTACCTTAATTTATCTATATAATTTAGTTTTCTTTCATTTTCAACACTTAAAATTTACAACTAACTGAAAATTAAATGATCATCAGGGCAGAATGCAGCACAATCAATTAAGACGACAT